GGGGGAGGGGATCCTGCCATGGGGGTCTGGGGACCTCCCTCTTGGCTGCAGCTACCACCTTCTAAATAGTTCAGGGCTGAGGGGCGTCTGTGGGAGGCGGGAAGAAGTGGTTGTTTGTCTTTCCTAGCCGAGACGTGAGGGCACCGTCCCCCCCACCCCATGCCCGCCAATTTAAAAGTAGAGTTTGCCCTCTTCCCCACTCAAGCTTCTAATGTTCCCATTCTAGGGAAGGGGAGGTGTCTTCCCTTCATTCCACCCTCAACCCGACTACACCAATGGAAATCCTCCAGAAGGAAAAGGGAAAGTCCAAGTCTTCTTCATATGGAGAAACTGAGGCAGAGCCAGCAGGCGCACAAGCGTGTTTATATGCATGGATCAGAATTCTTATCCTAGGGCTGCGCTAGTGTCCGGCCTCCTGAAGAAGGGTCTAGGGAGGAAATCTCATAGCGCCTTGGGTAGGGGTTTGGGGGTGGGGGTGGAGCAGTGTGGTGGTGGGAAACTGACCTCACACCTTGCCAGATTAAGCAGGGCAGGAAAAAAAAAAAAGGAAAAGGACGGAGGGAGGAAAAAGAAGACCGCTTTTTGTGGTGGTTCAGTTCCCCTCCTTGGGGGACTACGCAAACCTTCACTGCCCTGCCAACCCACCCACCCAGACGTTTCTGGCAGTGTACCACTCGGAGTGACCCCAGGGAAGGGGAAGGGGAGGGGATCCCCTCACTTAGGTCTCTCCCCGCCCCCATCCGCGCGCACCAGGCCCTACTATTCCACGCACTGAGATTCCCACTCAGGTGTGTCTGCTTCGCGTCTCCAGCCCGGCCCCGGAGACCCCGGCCAGCCTCGACGGACCGCATCCCCTCTGCCCTCTGAACCTCCACCTCTCCGGTTCCCATTTCGCCTCACCCGATCGATCGGAGGAGCAAAGCGCGGGTATCGGGGGATCTTTTCCACCCTAGCCCTCCGCAGCTTCAGGTGTTTCGGCGGCCACTGGGAGGCGGGCTGTAGAGATTGGGCCAGTTCAGCAGTCTGGCCACTGGGGAGCCCTGGAGCAGTCCTGGGGTCTGGGTGCGCACCATCCTGGCCAAAGTTGGGGGGTAGTGTTTGTGTGTGGCGTGCGCGCGCCTGTGTGTGTAGGAAGGGAGAGACTTCGCCTCTTCCTCTGTGCTGACCGTGGCTGTTGCCTGAGCCCATCCTCCACCTCCGCTGATTCTCTGGTCCCCCCTCCGCACACTTGCTCAAGTTAGTCTAGTGGGTTTACTTTTCGTCGCAGTGGCAGATATCACACACACACGCGCACGCACCACAAGAAAGACACAAGTCCTTGGCTAGGTCACACTATAAAACTGTCCCTTCCCTCTTGGCGGTGGAGGCTTCCAGCCTCTCCCTCTTTCTTCCTCCTCTCCCTCGCTCCACAACCAGGACAAGTCCCCTTCTTCCCCGCACCCCTTTTCCCCCGGAAGACAAAACTACTGGGCCAAGGTTGGTTCAGGTTCCTCTCTCCACCGCACTAAAAGGAAGTTTGCCAGGCCCTTCCCTGGGCTGCCGACTGGCGGCCTCCAGAGCTGTCCCTGGCGGTGCCCCCTCCCTACCCTATCTCGCCGCACTCTGCTCCCAGCTCTCCGGGGGAAGAGTAGCTCTTATCTGTCCCCCAGCTAGCATGAGGTGCTTCTCTGCCGGCCCCTTGGAGAAGAAAGCTTGTAGATTATTGTGCTCTATAATAATATTATTATTAATTATTAATATTATTATTATTAGTAGTAGATTTTTTTGTGCTCGATTCCCTTCACCCTCCTCCCAAATAAACAAAAAAGCCCCTACCCTTTGCAGGAAAATGATTTTATTCGAGGAGTGGCAGAATGGTGAAATACACGTAGGATGGCCAGCCTTTTTTTTCCTTCTTCTTCTTTCTATTAAAAAGGGGGGCGGGAGAGGCTGGTTCCTATAATCAGGATTCATGCCAATAGAGATTGGGGAGCGATTGCGACAAACACGGAGCAAAATCTGAGGAGAGCTGTCCAAGAGTATCTGCAAACTCTGGAGTCCATCTGTCATATCTGTGTCATTTCTGAGCCGTTTCCGCTCCATTTCCCTGGAGATTGGAGCTAGGTGCCTGCGTTCAGAGTGACACTTGGAGTTCCCTCTTTGGTCTCTGCCCAGTTGCCCTGAGCGGGAGAGCGCGCTCTCTCTCGCTCTCACTCTCTCTCCCTTCCCCCTCTCTCCCCTCCCCCCTCTCTCCCCTCCCCCTCTCTCTCCCCCTCTCTCTTCCCATATCTCTCCCCTTCTCTCTTCCTCTCCCCCTCTTTCCCTCTCCCTCTCTCTCCATTCCATATGGGATCTGGGGGTGTCATCTTCTTGGTAGTTTTCCCCAAGCCCCAGGACTCCCCCATTTTCTGCTGAAGTTCTGTCCCCTTTCAAAAGGAGGAGCTCTCGAGTCCCTCGTGGTCCATGGGCCTCCTCTGTGAGTCTGATGGGGGTGACCTTCCCTCCCTCACCCCAGTCCTTGTTACAGGAACGGGGGTGGGAGAGTTGGTTCTGGGCCAGGGTGCCCCCTCTTTCCCCCGACTACGTGAGGGGCTGGGGTCGCCGGGTGCGCTTGGTCCGGCGGGTTGGTGCTGATCCCACAAACTCAAACTGCTTTTGCCTTTCCCCGTGGTTGGGGAACTGTAGCTGGCCCTGGTAGAGACGCTTGATGAAGTGAGCCTCCCGCTGGTTCTGCCGGCTGCGGGATGCCTGTCTGGGCCGGCCCTGGCGGGTGAAAGCCATGAACCAGCCCTCATGGCGGGCATTCTGGAAGGCTGTGTAGTTATTCTCCAGCACAATCTCTGTAAACACGCAGTCTTTGCTCTTCCCGCTGGGCTGAGGGAGGAGGAAAAGAGGGGTTCTGGGGTGGGGGGGTCCCAGTGAAGTCAGTTATATCTCTATAGGGATGCCATGGGTGCAGCCCTTCCGAAACTCTGCATTTAGCCCGGACACCCTAGCGATTCTTCCAGCAGCCTTTGTGGCGTGTGTTCTCAGAAATGAAAGGGTAAGGCGATAGATGGGAGCTATCACCCACTGATCTCTAATGGGGAGGTTGTTGTGGGGGTTCAGAGGATCCTTCTGGAGTTTTAGGTTTCTTCCCCTACAGTCTTACTGCACTTAGTCAATACAGATTGTCCTCTTGAATATTCAAGCAGCTTTTGGACAGGGGTAGGCTGGTGCCTTGGGCCCAACACTCAGAAAGATGCAATGAAAGACACTTTTTAAATATATGGTTTAAAAAATGCACGTTTTAAATGCCAGAAAATTCTATATAAGACAGCACTTAGCTGTTCATTTTTATAATCATTTTAAGTTCTAGGTGTTAAAAAGAAGGTACAGAAAGGACCTAATTTCCAAATCTTGCCTAGTTTATAAATGCTAATACTTCATTATATCCCTTCTTTACCCTCCATTACCCACTTCACAGAGCCCAAGGCCTGTACATGTAGTATGTGCTCAATAAACACAATTTATTAATATAATCTATAGATTATATTAATAATCTATAGATTAATTTAATATAATATTATATTAATCATATATAAATAGAGATAATCTATAAAAATAGGGGTTCTCTTCAGAACCACTCTTAAATGGGTGGGGGAGAAAAGTTTACTTATTGAGGCTCAGGGAATAGGTGGGATTGCTCATTTAAGGATCCAAAAGAGAAACAAGAGAGTGGACCAGAAGTGAAGGAGGAATTGGAGAAAGAGATGGAGGAGCAGGTGTTCAAGGATCCCTCCCTACTGCTGTTCCCAGGGCAATTTCCACCAAGATGTGCTGACCAAGGTGGCCAGCAGAGGGAGGAGGGATGCCATAGACTGGATCTATTCCAACCTTGCCCATCCCACCCACCACAGATACCTGTGTCATGAAACTCAATTCTCATTCCCACCCATGAATCCCTTTTCCCATCAAGGCCTCACCTTCCCAATGAGTTTTCCCCTCTTGCTCATGCAGATGTATTTCTCACTCTCAGCCCCCTTGATGCGAACCCGGCTGCCAAATGTATCTGTTTCCACTATGAGCTTGGCTGTTTTGGAGGTTGGGGTTTAGGTTGGAGGTGCAGAGAAGAAGGGAGGGAGAGAGAGAGAGATCCGTCCATCGGGGCTGCCGGCCTGGGCCCTCCACCCCTCATAGTGCGGTGGGCAGGGAGTGGGGGAAGCAACTACTTTCAGGGAGGCTAGAGTTGGGCAGGTATTCATCTATCTTTGTTTTTCATCACCATGATCCACCGAAATCCCAGAGCCAGGTTCACTCTCCCCAACCACCCCCATCCCGTCTCAGTGTGAGCATTCGATCCCTTCCTGCTCACCCTCAACAGAGGTCATTGTTACCCAAGTGACATTTTGTGTATCCCTTGTCAAGACTGAGGAGGCAGGCATAGGGCTGGGGAAAAATGGATTGGGTCTCACCAAACTTGTTGCCGTCCTCAGCAGTGGCGGAGATGCGGCGCCCAGTGACCTGAACATGCTTGCCGCTGGTCCGGCTGTAGAGCTGGTATTCTCGGATCTGCCGCCGGCTCAGCTGGTCAGTCATGGCACCCTGGTCCCTCACATACTGGTTAAAATTAGGAGACGGGTGATTCTCCCCCTTTGCAATTACCAAGGGAAAAATAGTGTCAATTTGCTTTGGGTAATACTACTACCGGCCCACCCTAAAGGAGAAGGGGTAAAGGGTGAGGTTGGTCGTGGTGGGGATAAGAAGGTAAAGGGTGGAGCAGGAAATATGAGGAACATGTAAGCATGTGCTCAAAAGCCTGAGAAAGGAAAGGATAGAAGATTCCATGCTCCATATGTTCAGTGGCTGAACAAGGACGCTACACCCTCACCCATGTGCTTCTCTTTCTTCTTGTTTCCATTCTTTCTAGGATTTGGGGGGGGGGGTCTAACCTAACCTCTTCATTTTTTAGATAAGTAAATATGGGCCCAGAGAAAGTGAATGATTTGTCCAAAGTCACACAGTGAATTAGCATTAGAACTGGGAAAAGAGCTCAGGTCTCCTTCCTCTCACTTTCCATGGGAATAAAGGGAATATCACTTTCAGGTCCCTGCTCCTGGGCAGTTCCTGCCAAGCTAGGTGGAGGTAGGGAGATGGAGAATGGAAAAGCACATGAGAGAAAGAGAAAGAGAAAATGTGTAATTCAGATGTGGGAATGGAAGTAGGGTTAAGGACCTGGACTCAGCAGATTTAGCCGTATTTACCATGAAGATGAAACTCCTCTCCTCCCTCCTCTCCCACATAACACCCATTAATAGAAATTAAGCCTATTACATGGTTTGAAATCTCTGGCAAGGGGCAGAAAAAACCAACAGAGTGAATCCTAGTGGGCCTTATGAGGATCTCTTGATCTTCTAACCAAGCCATTGGCATATTTTAAACTAGGGGATCTTAACTTGGGGTCTGTGGGCTCCCAAAAGGTCTGTAAATAGAGGATCCATTAACTTGGATAGGAAAAACAATTATATCTTTATTTTCAGTAACCACCAACTGCAATTTAGCATTTTCTTCGATTATTTGAAAGTATTACTTTGAGAAGGGGTCCATAGGCTTCACCAGAGTGCCACAGGGGTACACCCCCCAAAAAAGGTTAAGACCCTGTATTTTAGACAATCATCAGTAGAAGGAGGTGGGTTTCTAGAGAGCTGACCCAGGAATCCTAGACCATGGATGGTCCACTTGACTTTAGCCTCCTGTGTATGGTCTCTAGTCGCCCCTGGACTTGGGTCTGGATGCCCTGTTGGGCTGGAAGGAGGAGGAGCAGCTGAAAAACACTGCCACCTCCAGCTGCCCTCACTGCTCCTGCCTATGCAGACTGGGGGCCACAAAGTTACCACTGCTTGGCCCTCTCTCACAGCTGGAGGCTGGCCAGGAGTGCTGCCTGCTTCTTCTGGACAGCTGGAGCCTGCGGTTGGGACATGGGGGTGTGGAAGTTGGAGGCGGGGAGAGAGGAGGAGGCAGGCAGGTGAAAGGTAAAAGCATGGATGTAGTAAGGCTTGAGTTCAGTTCCTGCTTGGGACTGTTTGTATGACCCAGGACAAGTACTTTCTCTTTGGGCCTCCATTTACTTATTTAGAAAATGATGTTTATACATATGAAGAATGCTTGTCTTCCTATCTCTTCCCTGTTCTATAAGTCATCTTCCACTGTGTTCTTGGCCCATCTATCTGCTGCTTCTTGTTTTAAATGCATGTGTGTACGTACATACATATATATATATATATATACATATTCTATATAGATTTATATAGATATAAACTCCCAAGTTTTATATATACGTATCTATCAAAAGTCCCAAGGCAAAGCATTTTCTCTCCCTCTTTAAGGTACCCAAACATAACTTTTCCCCAAAATTCCATCTGCCCTCCTCCCACCTAGATTTGGGTTCTGGTGAGCTTGGCTCAGCTGTGTTCCAACATTCTCTGTGTCCAGTTTCCTGATTCTATCCAATCCAGTCCTCTAGAGGCAGCATAGTATAGTGGATCAAGAATTTGCCTTGGAGCTGGGTTCAAGTCTCACCCCTGACTGACTCTGACTCCGGACAAGTGACTTCACTCTAGGCAATTTTCTAGACTATGAGTTGCCCAGAAGACGCTTACTTGCACTGGTGAAAGAAGTTTCCTTAGCCAGGATTCCCCATATCAGTGAAGTCACAGCTCTAGCCCCTATGCTATCCCCTGATTTTGCCCTAATCCCAACCATCTGGATGGAGTCATTGCAAGAGGAGGAATCTCTTGGAAGGCCCCCTTTTATCTTCTGGGTGATGGAAGAGGGAAATTCTATTTGGAAATTTGTCAAGCAGAGGCTGAGGAATAAAGCTAATTCCTGAGGCTCAGGACTCCGCTCTCCTCTTCTGCAATTTGTCTCTGCCCCTGGGCTAGCCCCTAGCACCAATTACTTTTTAATTCTAACCTTGTCAACCCCAGCTCCTCACTGTTGCTTGCACACCAATCTCCACGCTGCCAGGTGGACCAGGTAAATGGCCAGGAGGCCACCAGGACAATGAGAGGATTCAGAAGCGCAGTTCTGTGAGAAGTGAGGCCCGCTGGCTGGGAGCAGGCCCTGGCTTGGGGCTGGCCCCTTCTCCCTGAACCCCTCAAGCCTCCTGGCTCAGGTTCAGGTCCCTCCGCCCTTCTTGGCAGGCAGCCTTATTCTCCCTGTCCGTTCCAGGTCAGAAACAGAGGGAGGGGCCATCAGCCACCCCCCCCCCAGCTCTCCCCTTCTTCCTATTCCCCAGCCCTGCACAAAGGCAGCCCCACACCCCCACGGCCCACAGCCCACAAGCCGCTCTCCCCGTGGGACCTTGCCCAGCTCTTTAATGTCCCCGCTGTGGGGGGAACCTCCCCTTCTGCCCGCCTCAGACAGCTGCTTGTCAGGCAGCCCCTCAAGCATGGCTATAGTCCGGCCTGCTTACCTCCCCCCACAGGGGGAGCGGGGGCACTTCAAGGGGGAAAAGGAGGGCTTTGCCACCTTCCCTTCCAACTGAATGGGGCCTCAGGCCGGGCAATAAACGCCCAGTCCCTCCGCACCATTGTGCTAATTCCCCTTCCAGAACAGGTTGGGTCCCACCCCCAGCCCCCCCTACAGTCAGGCCAAGGCTTTCTTCTCACTCTTCTTGGATGTGTGAAGCAAAAGGCCTGGAATGGGGTTGGAGCAAAAGGGGAAAGGAAAAAAAGGGGGGGTGTCTCTCTCTCCCACCCCCCCACTGCTTCAAAGGCAGCCCCTTTCCCTCTCCCAGAGAAAAGGCATTTACCTTCAAAAAAAGTCCCAACTGGATGTGAAGAGAAGCCCCCAGCCTCAGCCTTGGGAACGCGAGGCAGGCCAGCTCTCCGGCACGGTTCTGGACCAGTGCATTTTAATAGTTGCACTTTTATGGAGGATCACAAAAAAGGACCCTGCACCAAGAAGGGGCTGAAGCTTGGAGTGGGGGAGGTGGAATAGACAGGAGGAGACCTCTAGTCAGGGCAGAGGTGGTGGAGGTGGTGGTGGAGGTGATGGAGGGAGCATCTGTATAAAACAAATTCTGGATGCAATCCTAACCGAACTGCTTTGGGCTTGACCCCTATTGCCCTGCAGGCTTGGAGAACCTGCAGCCGGCCCTGGGCACTTCATGGATGCCTCCCACCAAGATTTGCAGGAAGATGTTCCATAGGTGATACGGGCTCTGGGCCTACCTTCTTCACATACATTGGTGGTGGTGGTGGGGCATAAAATTGGTTTCAAAATGAAATCGATCCCCTTGGACAGCTTTTGCAAGGGGGCCATCTTGCCACATTCATCTCTTCCACCCAGGTTTTTGCCTTTTTGTCTTAGATTCCCCTTAAGATTGTGGGAGACTCAAATAAAGAAATGAGATGAAAAGAGGACAACAATTGAATAATCGAGGCAGGTGGGATCAGTCAGAGGTAGAGAAGGGAGGGTAAGGGAAACTCAAGTGGTACAATCTCAGTCTCCATCCTCCTTACTCTGTCCACTTCATCATATTGCATAATATCGAACCATACAGTATCCCCAATTGGGCTAGATACCATAATACTCTACCAGCCTCCCATCTCCTGACAAAGCAGCCGGATTGGGGGTAAAGAAGAAAAAATATAGTGGGGAGCTCTCGCCTACCTGGGTTTGGCAGCAGCAAAGGATCAGGAGCTGAAAGCATCTGCAAAGAGAGAGAGAAAACAAATTCAGGATTTGGTTGCTGCTCACACACACACACACACACACACACACACACACACACACACATCCTCCCATCTAGTCAGAGGGGCAGTCCTGGAGTCCGGGTTAAGATTAAACCTCCATCAAGGCTGGAAATGGTAACAAAACTCAAGTCAGCACACACAGACTTACAGAGTGAGGTTGGCCAGGAGACAGGAGGCTCCCATCACTGGAGAGATTTCTTGGGGAGGATGTCCCCTCTCCCCCCAAAACTCAGTAGCAGATGTGGACAGCCCCTGAGGTAGAGTCCCAGAACAACCAAAGATCTTCGAACCACAGGTCCTCAAGGGGGGGGGGGGGGGGGGGGGGGGGGGGGGGGAGAAGGGGGAGGGGGAGGGGGGGGAGGAGGAGGAGAGGAGGAGGGAGTAACAGGGAGAGCAGAGGTGTGATCTGTCCACCTTCCAGTCTCAGTGTGACTGCAAAACTCCAGACTTGGGAGCGGGGGTGGGGGTAAAAGAGGGAGGAGGAACTGGGTGGGGGGGGTGTCTTTCTTTCTCTTTTCCCCCTCTATCTCTCTCTTTTCTACTGGGCTATCTAGAGGTTGGAACCAGTAGAGCCTTCCTGCTAAGCAGGCTGGTTCCCTTCGTTTCTATCATTCCTGTCTTTCCCACAGACCCAGAACAGAGTCAGCTCCTCCTTTTCCCCAAATTGTGTCTCGGTCCCGAACAGTGAGTTGAAGCTGTCAGGGACAGGGTGGATATCTTCCCCCAACTTTTTTCCCCCCTGTGTGCGGGGAATCCTTTAAGGCCTTTAAAGGAAGAACCTTTTGGGGGGTGGGAGTAGGAGGTGGGCATGGCTCTAAGCTAGTCACTTCTATGGCCTCCTCTTCTCTCTCCCACTTCCACCAAGGTCTGCCCACAGGGGAGGGAGGGGTTAATTCTGGCCTGAGGGCCAGCAGGTGCTCCAAGTAGGGTCTGGGGGTGGGGTCCTTAATGCTTTCTGGGTTTTGTGGCTGGGGTCAGTGCCACTGCCTTGTGACAAGGACTTCTCCAGGTCAACTAGGAGTGGAGTTCAAAGGGAGAGCTGGGGGTTAGAATGGTGGTGGGGGTGGGCATAGGGCTGGCAACATTTTCTTCTAAGCTAGCTGTGGGACAGCCAATGCCCATCTTCTTCAATGTCCCTTTGCAAGGTGACAGGATCCTGTTCCACCGGGTGCTTGATTTTATTCCCTTTCATACCACTCTCTGGTCCTTTTAGGAGCTCACTGAAGGCTTTTTTCATATATTGTTTCCTCCTTATTTTATATTGTGCCTAGTATAGAATAGATATCACAAGATATCTGTTAAGTTTTTTAAGATACTGAAAGGTGAGGGATGGGGAAACTTGATCATCAACTTCCTGGAGTTGAATTTGGGCATAGTGATCCCAGTGACACCCAGCTGTGTGAGTGTGTGTGAGTGTGTGTGTGTGTGTGAATGAGTGTGTATGAACGAGTGTGTGAAAGTGTATGTAAATGAGTATGTGTGAATGAGTGTGTATATGAGTGTGTATATGAGTGTGTATATGAGTGTGTAAATGCAAGTGCGTGAGTGTGTGATTGAGTGTGTGAGTGTGTGTGAGTGTCTAAGTGGGGGAAGGCCTCAGGCTTGGGGGAAGTTACCTTCACACTTGAACCCCGGATATTTTTGCATCCTGTCTCTTGGGGTTCTTCCAAATTCAGCCAGAAAGGGCAGAGAGGAGGAAATGAGTTTATTTATTTATGTGAGTTTGGGAAGGAGGAAGCTTTCTTTCACCTTTGGCATTCTCTCATCTCCTTGAACTACAGAGAATCCCCAAAGCTGTCAGTAATACCCCTTCCCCCATCATTACTTGCTTTGCTATCTTAATGGGGAAGGCTGGAGGATCTTTTGAGTAGTTCTTCTTTAGTCATGGTGTGTGTGTGTGTGTGTGTGTGTGTGTGTGTGTGTGTGTGTGTGTGTGTGTGTATGTGTGTGTGTGTGTGTGCTTGCAATGCCCAGGGAGTTTTTTAAACATCACAGAAGAAATTTTACAGCTCAAAGGGCTTTTAGTCCAAATTCCTCAACTTACATCTCAGAGAAGCAAAGGTCACAGTTGTGGCTGTCAACAGATACTAATATGGTCCGAGTTCAGTGGTCTTCCTAAGGCTCACCAATGACCTTCAAGAGCAGTATGGGGGAACACTGGACATAGGGCACAGGTGCCATGGGCTCCTTTGTCAGCGAGGATGCTGCTCTCTGTGGTTTTTCCTGGCCTGAAGGATTGGTAACTCAAATTCTCTGACTATGCAATACTGTATTCCCTCTCTCCCTGCTCCCTTTCTCTTCCCCTGAGGTGGGAAGTTACTTTTCTTCACAGGTAACAGGAAAGGGTGAGATAAGGACTAAGAAGTCAGGATACTGACCAAGAAAATGGCGGGCTGTCAGTCCTTGCCTGTTTCTAGTCCATTCCCACTGAGCGATCAGTTAGTGGGAGAGATCCAAGGTCTGTGAGCCCATGGATAACTCCTCTTCATGAAGGAGGTGCCCATCGCCAGTGCTTAGCCTTCTACCTAGCCCCGGAGTCCCCACAATCTTCTTGCCTTCGTCCATCTTGGAAGGGCTGTAGTCCTCCCTTCTCATCTCTGCACCAGGCTTGTCCTCCTTCCTCTTCTGTCCTTCCCACACCCAAAGGTCAGGAAGAAGGGGAAGAAAGGCCATGTGGCCCAGGTAATATGTGGAAAGTAGACAAGACTGGAAGTTAGGGGAAGGGGAGTAGAAGGGAACAAGCATTTATGTAGCTCTTACCAGTCACTGTGCTAAGCACTTTTTACAAATAATATTTCATTTAGTCCTCCCCACAGCCTTGGGAAGTAGGTGCTATTATTATCCCCATCTTACAGATGAAGAGACCGAGGCCAAGATGTTATCTGACTTGCCCAGGGTCTTCCTGACTCCAGGCCCAGCACTCTATCTACCGCAATCACCTGCTGCCTCCAGATCTGTAGGCTCTCCTTCTGGGTCTGTCCTTCACTTTGTGATCTTGGGTAAGTCACCCCTTTATTAGGCTTCGGTTTCCTCTCATGTAAGAGGCTGGTGCTGTTCTGGGTGAACTTTAAAGCTCCTTCCAGCTCTATGCTCTGATTCTATGCTATTACAAAGTATAAAACTCGACACCAATGCCCACCAAAACTACCTGTTTATCGGTGTTGCCTCAGTTTTCCTCAGTGTAAGGTTATGCTCATCCTCCCCGTATGGAGTATAAGTGGGCAGAAGGGGCAGATTCATTTATATTTGCAGGGGGGCCAGGAGGTGATAGAAGTGAAAAGTGACCTTGGTACTGGTTAATCTCTAGTGCCAAGTTCAACACCCCACCTCCCGGCAGGAGCTGTCTCACACCTACTTCTTCCCCCAACCCAGAAGTTGAGAGGTTTGCTAACAAGACTTCACTGGAACATCCATCCCCCATTGACACAAAGTCTTCATCCTATCTCACACAGGACTCTCTACTCTGACCTGACAAAAATATCTGCGCTAAGGAGGGAAAATCAAAGAAGCCATTCTTCAGTTCCCTAGCAATCCATTTGATGCCCAGTCCTTGACTTTCCCCTCCTCGGAACCCAAATCCCCCCAGCCACAGAGAGATCACCCAGAGAGCACAAACTAAGAGCTCTGGACTTGGGAGCTCTAACCCCTGAGCTCTAGCCCCAGCTCAGCCACAGGCTTAATACATGATTCTGGGACATTTTCCTATCCTGAGCCTAAGTTTCTTCATCACTAAGATGTGGGTTGATCATCCCTTTCCTACTTCCTCAAGGTATTGTTATAAGAATCAAACCGGACTGTGCTTCAACCACTACAAAGCATTACATACCAGGTAATAAGGCAATCATCGTCACATCCTCGCCCCTCTCCCCCCCCCCAACTTTCCTTGTTGGCTTCTCACATTGAAAGGGAGTGTTAAGCACTTAGGTTCTAACCCTTTTCTGTGCACCTAAGGACATCCCTGAAGTTTTTATCCAGTCTTTCCCCCCTACACACACACCTCCCCACACACCTGGTCTGGTTATTGTATTCGGCTTTGCTCCCCAGCAATGAGGCCATGCAGCAAATCCTCACTCTGGCCAGCACCAAGACCAGGTCAATGGTGCACAATGGGGCCCCCATGGTTCCCTAATCCCCTATTGTGTCCCCCTATTCAGGACTGTTCTGGTTTGGAAAGGAGGGGGGGAAGGCTGGTTTAGCTGGGGCCCAGTCTTTTAGAAGTCTACTTGTGTCTGCATTCATAGGTACAGCGGCAAGGGTATAGGTGTATTCATGTGATATTTTAATGGTTAGATTGGGAGGGGTGGGGGGAGATACACCCTCTCTAGCCCCTTTGCTTCAGTTTCTTTCTCATCTAGAAATCTAGGTGTGGACCACAGGTGTCCCTGTATGTACAAAGCACAGCTAGAGACAGGTAAGAAAGCCAGACCTAACATTTAACCTGGCAATCAAGCCTGGTCCCAGACTTATCTTCCATAAATCCCTCCACTGAGTGAGAGAGACTCTTCTAACAGTTTTTATATTCCTATCTCTCTCAGTTCATTAGCAGGTATACCCTCCTCCTTCCCTCTCCAGAAACTAACCCTTCTTTGATTATCCTCTCTTCCCCAAGTCTTCTCAAGCCACCCTTCCCATACCGACCCAACTCTCCTTTGGACTGCTGCAGGCTTCATCTATACCACCCTCTTGGCTTTTCACTCCCATGTCATGGCCCTGGGTCCTTTAGCTAGCCACCTTTTATAGATCTTTGGGCATTTGGCACAGAACCGGGCATCTCTGTTGGATTAATCATGCCTGCCTGAAGTAAGCAGGGAGAAAACCTAGCCTCTTTTTTCAATTAGTCTCTGTTAATGAGGAGTTGGGAAGAAGAGATCTGGGCTCACTGGATGTCTACTAAGGAAAATGGGGAAGGAATCAAGGATGGGGGAGGCACAAAGGTAGGGGCAGGGGGCTCAGTTTATGAAAAAGACAAAAAAAAACAAACAAACCACGAACAACAAAAACCTGTCTCCTCTCAACGAGGACTTCCAGGAGAAAGGGAGGAGAGTTTGGGAAAGTGGAAAATGGAGACAGCTAAGGGCTAGGGGTCAGCTGCAGAGACAGCTCTGCTTCAGGTGGAGGAGAAGTGGTCACAAGGTATTGCTCAGAATTTGGAGCAGGGCCCGTCCAGAAAGGCAGCTTGCTTCAGCATTTCAGCAGCACAGACCTGTCCTCTACTGGAGGTCAGAGTCAACTGCATGTATTTGTAGGCACGAAGGAGAAGGCTGTGGCCAGCCAGGTAGGGTGATAGTCTGGAGAGGGGAAAATAGCCCAAGAAGCCAGAGTTCCAGAAAAAAAATTTATTTTTATTTATTTTTTCTTCCCAGTTCCCGTTTTGCTCTTTCTTGGTCCTGTAAAAACCAAAGAGAGCCTGTGGCAGAGAGGGGCAATGGGAGAAGAGCAGTTCCCCACCCGAGTCTCGGCCTCTGGGTGCGTTCCATCCCCAGTCACACCTTAGACTCCATAAGGGGCAGGGAAGGGAACAGGGGCATGACATCCTTCTATTCTTCCACAAACTTCTTCCTTGGGGACATAACTCAGCCCAGCATCAAACCTTGGGGCAAACCAAGGCATCTCACTCATTCCTTTTTGGTCAGACTTTACATCTCACTCACCTTTAGTCCCTCTCTTGCACATTGCCTTTATTTCCTGAGTATTGTCTTTGCCTTCTTGCCTTTGGCCTGTTGGGGGAAAAAAAGGGCTTTGTGTTCCCCACCCCAGATCATCAGAGCCCACCTTCACATAACCCCTGCCATCTTCTCCTTTGGTTCTTACCTTCATTTCAAGGCTCCTCAGCAATGGGACTCTAAGAAGAGAGAATGGGGTCTCATGCCGGTACCTCTTGGCACCCACAGTCAGGAAGAATTGAACTTTGGACAGTTTGGGGAAAGGGAGGAAAAGTGACAATTTGGAGGACTGGGCAAGGTCTGGGAGAACACTCCTTCCTAGATTCTAACACCTCTTAGTTGCCTCAGGCTCACCTCTGCTCTTCCTCCAGCTTCTTTTTCTGCAGTCAAAGAAAACAGCAGTAGCCAGGATGGACTATATGGCCTCTAGCCAAGATCACTCTTCAACAATAAACTAGAGGCCCTCTTCTTTCCATTTCTGGGTATCCTGGCAGCACCTTACTCTCAAGCGTCCCATTGGGCATGGATCATAGAATGTAGGGCCAAAAGGGACTTTAGATGCTGGCTAGGCCAACCCTTTCATTTTACAGTAAAGGAAACAGAGGCTCCAAGAGGTTACACCTCAGTTCACACAGCTTGTCAGGGTCAAAGGTGGTATTGGAACTTACATCTTATATCCAACAACTCTGCCCATCACATGACGAGGCCTTTAGATGGAAAGGGATTTAAAGCATGATGGGACCTTCAAGTTCTAGGGCAATCCCTTCATTCTCATCTATAGATGTTATATTTTTTACAGACTTATTCAGTGCCACACGGGCAGTAAACAGAAGAGCCAGGGGTTGAACTTTGCCTCTAGCTCCAAATCCAAAGCTCTTTCCACATTGTCTTGTCCAGGGAGATCATTGGCCCTATAGGCTGTGCGTAATGTAGAACCAAGGTGATGAGCTCCTGCCCTTACTCTTTTTTTTTCTTTTTAACATGTGTTTTTAAAATTTGGGGTTACAAATTTTCTCCCTTCCTCTCTCCCCACCCATCCTCATTGAGAAGGCAAGCATCTTGATACGTTGTAGATGTGTAGTCATGCAAAACACCTCCATAGTAGTCATGTTGTGAAAAACTAAGTATATTTCCCTTCATCCTATCCTAGCCCCCATTTATTCTATTCTCTCTTTTGACCCTGTCCCTCTTCAGAAGTGTTTGCTTTTGATTATCCCCTCCCCCAATCTGCCCTCTCCTCTCTCAGCCTCCTGCTCTCTTGTCCCCTTTCCCCTTTATTTTCCTGTAGGGTAAGATAGATTTCCATACCCCACTGTGTTATTTATTCCCTTCTTAAGTCAAATACTATGAGAATAAGATTCACTAATTCCCTCTCACCTTCCCCCTGCCCTTATTCTTTTAAGCCCCCTACCCCAGACACCATCCAGGAACTCTGCTCTCACCTTTGCAACACCAGTCTGACTTTTGGATGCCCGTCGCTTGGCTGGCTTAGGTGGAGAAGTCTCTTCCAAGGATATCTCATTAGAATCTTCATCGTCATCATCATCATCGTCATTGTCATCATCATCATCATCATCATCATTGTCGTCATAGTCATCATCATCATCATCATCATCATCATCGTCATAGTCATCATCATCATCATCATCATCTCCTTCTTCCTCCTCAGCCTCCTCTGTCTCCTTTTCGTCCCCCTTATCCCCCTCTTTTTCCTCCCAGGATGGGTCTAAACGCACTGCAGGAATGGAAACACAAGAACCTTCATTCCCAAAAACGCTTTCTTCTTCCTCAGTGTCAAGAATCAACCAATTAGCCTGGAAAGATGTGAATGAACTGATGCAGAGCCCAGAAAACAGCATATGCAATGACCACCACAACACAAAATAATTGAAAATGAATATTACAAAATTACAAAGAACAGTGTTGGTCTCAAAGAAGAGCTATGAAAAGATACCTCTCTCCACACTTTTGCTGGTGTGTGTGTGTGTGTGTGTGTGTGTGTGTGTGTGTGTGTGTCTAGGCAAAGGGATCGTCTATAGGTGTGGAATATTGTACATATTGTGAGTTTCGGTTTTTTTATGTACTGATAGGTTTTGCTAATTCCTGCCCTCCCCCCTCACCTTCCTCCTTTTCTTTTTAAGTTTCTTTGTTATGTGGGATGGCTTTTCAAGAGGAGGGAAGGGATGGATACATGGGGAAATTTTGAAAAAGCAAAAAAGAAAAAAATCAAACAACAAAATGTTTATGGAGCACTTGTATGTCTGGCACTGTGCTAGGTGCTGAAGAAGACCAGAATCAGTAAAACTTTGAGGGCACAAATGGAGGCATCTTCCCATGGCCTTGAGGACAGTGCTTTCTGCACATGCTAGGTGCTTGATAAATGGATGTTGAAAAGGAAGACACATACACATGAAATGGGAATAAATAAAAAACAATGTGTTCCAAGTGCCACAGGACTTTATGTGGTGGGCTGGGGGAGTCATGGAAAGTTTCCTAGAGGAAGGCTGTGTGTGTGTAAAATATATATATATTACACACACACACACACACATATTTGTATCCACATGTGTATATGTACATGTGTGTATGTATGTACATTTGTACATGTTGGGTACGTGGGAGGGGAGGGGATGACTTTAGGAAGACTCAGAGGGGAGGGCTTTTCAGGAAGGAGAAGAAAACAGAATGAAGACTTTGAAGGCAGGATTGAATAAGCTCTGTTGGGGAGGTTGAGGCTCAGGATGAGTTTAAAGATAGAGCTGGAAACTCAGGTTAAAGTCAGATTGGGGAGAGCTCTGAATCTCAGACCAAAGTTTCTTGGGCAATGGGGAAACCTAGTTGCCATTGCCTGTTATGGACCTAGCATGGCAACCTCACACTCTACCCCCCTGACTTACCAGTAAGATCACGGCCACTGATGTAGACTGGCCCTGGGCCACGCCGAAGGTAGAAAGTGATGGGGGGATTGAGCTCCATTCCTGAAATGTTGACCTGAAAAAAGGAAGCAACCAGGAAGCAGAATTTCTCAGGTTTCCTGCCCTTACCTACTACACTAAAGCTCCTGGTTTTGCTAAGAAATAGCTTTAGAGAAAAGCAGTGGAAGTTGGTGGGTCTTAGGCTACAGGGTATGCCCAAAGTTAGCTTGAATAGCTTACCCTATTATTTTATGAGCTTGAACTATTATTTAAAGCTATTAAAGCTTAAAACTGCACTAAGACAACCCTGTATTTCTGCTGAAAGGGAAGTCAGGAGTCATCTTAGTCATAGTTCTTTCTTCCCCTCTTTTCCTTTGCCCCCTTCAGCCTCTCTACTTCCTCAAGTACCCAGTGTCCCTCTTATTTCCTGTACTGATACTTACTCATACTAAGGTAGGAATAACTGAAAGCATTACCCTGCCCAGAAGCCTTGCATTTGAAAGAGACTGGCAATATTTGACTTAAAGATATGAACCTCTAAGGGTGGAATTTTGGAGAAAGTAGCTTGTCTCAGTCCCTAGCCCTCACCATCAGTTGATGGGCCATGGGGTGGCTTACCATGGGCAGGACCGAGGGTTTCAGTGCGGCAAAGGGAAATGGGCGTCTCTCCTTGCCATCCTCATTAGGGGGTGGTATGATCTCCACTACGTTCAAATCATCACTTTTTGTCTCCCCTAGGCAGATCTGCAAGGGGGTGTGGGAGCATACTCAAGTTTCCTCCTATGTACTGCCCATTGCGCCAGGCATCTACCTATATGGGCCTCAGGAACACTTTTCTTTCCTATTCAAGATTCCTCCCCATTCTTCCTCCCCACCCCCACCCCCCATCTTCCCTAGGATAAGGGCAACCCTCTCCTCTAACTTCCTAGTCAGACTTGGTTGTCTGCTTAAGGGCTCACTCACCAGGTTCAGCATTAACTTACGGTCACAGTTCTCATCTTCCAAGGGATCAAAGGTATATGAGCGATTATCCCAGTTCAACTCACAGCCTGAGGAAGAGAGACTGGGGAAGGGTGGCTATGAAGAATACTTTCCCCTTTACTCTCCCCTCCCCCATGTCCTCTTCTCTACCATTTTAGGTCAGCAAAGATGGAGCTCTAGCCATCAGTCAGCAATTCTTGCCACAGAGGGCTTTCTATTTCCAGTGCTGGGAGAAGAAGAGTTCTCTTTATCCCCAAGGCTAGGAACACCACCCAAACCCCTGACTCCTTCAGGAGTAGAATCCCATCCTACTTACCCCAGAACACAGCCAAGGACTTATCAGCCTTTCTGCTGACACTGGTTAGAGGCATGATGCTTGAGGAGGGAGTTTCAAGGGCACCTAAGGCTGTGAGAAAAAGAGGGGAGACAGGTAAGGGCTACCCTCACAACCCTGGCCCACAGGGATCTACCCAGCCTCTGAACTCCAGTTGTTCTACCCTCTGTGTATCCCCCTCCTTCAACCAATTATCTGCTTTGTTTTGTTAGGGGTGTAGACCTTCTATCCTCAGATAAACTGTAAGTTCTCCTGGGGTTTCTTTTGTATTCCCCCACAGACCTAAGGTTTGGGACACAGAGTAGGAATCACTAAAGGCATAATGAATACAGAAATAAATGAAGCCAAGGTTAATCCTAAACTATGAGGTTTTAATGTTCAGAGGTCACCCTTTCCTCTCTTAGGCACCATCATCCCCATCTCCTGGGGCTTAATGAAACTTGGAGGTAAAAAGATGCCAGGGATCAGGAAGTAGCTTTAGCTCCCAGTTGCCTGACCTCACCCCAGCAGTGCCAGCCTTCTTATCCCTCTTAACCCCCTAGTCATTCCATCCTGCCCAGCGTTTCTGCCTCTGCTGCCTCAGCTACACTGCCTCCATGCTCACACCTACTCCATTCCCCCTTTATCATGGGGCAGGGCAGCCTCACAGGTGGTTCTTATGAAGCTTGTTAGGTCCAATCAGACTACTGGTTGCAGATCTTAAAGTAGAAGAGACCCTTTTCCATATACCACTCTTTTCTTTTCCTAATAAATCCTGAAGTATTTATGGAGAATTTAGGTTCTGTCCAGCCCTGTGTTAAGAAATGAGGAAGAAACATGAGAATGATAAGTCCTTGAGGACACAATCTTATCTTAGAAATAAGACTAGCACACATTCAGCACTTATTCAATATCTCAGCATTTCATGTTTCCATCCCCAGTCTCCAGTATAGTGCCCTGCCTAGTTATAGAAAAAAAAATAACTGATAGATACCATATACCAAAACAAGTGCCAAAAAAACCCATAACCTAGATATAAAAGGTCACATCATAAAAAAACAACTACAGCAAGGAAGGAGATAACTTTTGTAACTATGGTTAGGGGAAAAATAATCTCATGACCAAACCAGAGATGGAGAAGATCACAGAAAATAAAATGGACAATTTTGATTATATTAAACTGAGAAGATTTTGCACAAACAAAATCAATGTAGTTAAAATTAGAATGGAAATAGTGAACTGGGGAAATTATTTTGCAGCAAATTTCTCTGATGAAACTCTGATATCAAAGATATATATATATATAAATTATATATATAGTTATATAGTAGAACAAGAGCTGTTAATAGATCAATGGTTAAAGGGAGTTCTAAAAGGAAAAAATTCAAACTATAAAAACCATATGGAAAATGCTCCAAATCATTAATAACAAGAAAAATGTAATTTAAAACGTAATTTAAAACAACTTCTAGGTTTTGTCTTACACTCATCAGATTGTCAGAGGAATTTCAGAGTTCAGGATCTTGGAGACGGAGTAATTTCAAGTAATGGTGAGGTTTAAGTGTGATAGATGATTAATTAGACCCCTATTTTGTTCCAATCAGTATTAATCAGCTTGATATGATTCCATAGAGATGGTAATTTTAAGTTCTGTATATTAGGCCGCAGAGCTGTGAACTGCAGATTGTAAGTTCACTTGCTTAATCATAAGAAGCTAATTAGATCACCTCCACCCTTGTTTTTTCCTTGTTATGGTGACCAAGCCCAGCATGGCAAAGGTGACTCGATGACATGGAAAGTCCTCCAACTATTTTTGTTGCCCCTCTGTAGTTGTCATCTCTCTATTGCCTAACATGGAGAGATGGCCATAAGCATTTGGCCAATAAATGATCCTGTTTGCCGGCCTGTGGCCTACCTTTCTACCAGCCCATGTAAATATTTTGACATCTGTTTATCAGCCTAGCCCATAGGTATGCTTATTAGCTCAGTAGGACCTCCTGAAAGGTCAAGATAGGTGGTCTGCTCATTGCTCATTTGTCAACCAATGGAATTCTGTATGTTGTGTAGAACCTTCTGGAGGGTCAAGGTCAAGATCTATTAACCAATGAGGCTCTGCATTTTATGGTGCCTCTCCTGTATCATCTGGGTATCAAACATTATAAAACTAAGACCATAGGGAAAGGGCATCTCAGATCTTCGGATCACTTCATTAGAGGGGGCCATAGACCCTTTAATAAAGTGCTATGGTTTGGAGCTCTGCCTCAGATTCTTTTATTGTAGGTTGGACAATTTTGGACCCAACATTAGATAGTTGAAGTAGTGTGGACAATTAAAGTCAAAGGAATCAAGGAAGTTAAGGAACTTTGAGTCTTGATGTTAGAAGGATCATCCAGGTACTGAGATGATGATAAAAGGTAGTGCTGAGAGGAGGTGAGCCAAGTAGCATTGGCATTGAGAAAGCTGGGAGAGCACCTTGGAGGTCAAAAGTCAAGGCAGATAATACTTCAATAAGTCCAAGATCTCATCAATGTAGACACGCTTTCCAATAGTGCAAACCACAACCTATCTATTCTTCTGTCCATGTTCTCCCATAAATACTCTGTAAAGAATCCACTGATGCACCAGGGGCCTTCCTGGACATCTTTTAACATTATGTGGTGTTGATGTAGTAAGTGTGTTATCCCTTGTCATCCCTCATTCTTGCAAATGTGATGGCCCTACTAACTTCTTTTCTTATATATATATATATCTCTGTATATCTATATATATATCAAGGAAGTTAAGGAACTTTGAGTTTTGATGTTAGAAGGATCATCCAGGTACTGAGGATGATGATAAAAGGTAGTGCTGAGAAATATGTATATATATATGTTGTTATGCCTCTCTTGCGTGAAGTCATCTTTGGTAATATACCATAATCTATTTATGCTTACCATTCATCTCATCATTGTCCTTTGGGTAACTTGAAATTAAAATCTTTTGGAGATTGTAGTCTTCCATGGTTCACCCCCATTTAGAGTCTCTGGGAGAACAGTGCTGTTTTCAAAAGATGAATTTTTGTTTTAGAGAGCATCTTGGGATCATTGAGAGTGATGCATAGTTTCTCAAATGTGATCCAACTCTCCTTTCTTCTATTCAATCCTGGGACCAGTTCATTGTTCATTTGTAATGCCTATCCAAGATACGCACACATGTAATATACATATACATACACATATAATATATATGTATGTGTGTATGTGTGTGTGTACACAGACAGAAAGAGAGAGAGAGAGAGAACTAACTCAGTGGACTGTCCATTGAACGTAGTCTGGCAAATAGTTATTCTTTATCCACTTAGTTTTTCCTTTGTGGATTTAACACAATTGACATTTTAATTGTTTGAATTACTGAAGGAGGCAGGACATATGACGACAACTCAAATTTATTACAGCACTCTATGGTTTACGAAGATACCAATTATTTGTGAGAAATAATTCACTTGAACCCCTACTCTAGTCCAATCAGTTTGTTACGATTCCATATAAGTTTGGTACATTAGGCCCCCGAACTGTGAGCTGCAGATTCTAAGTTCACTTGCTTAATTATAGGAAGCTAACTAGAGGCTCTCCAACCTTGTTTTGCCTTGTTATGATGACAAAACCCAGCATGGCTGAGATGACTCAATTACATGGAAAGTCCCCTAACTTATTTTTGTACTTCTGGCCCACTCTCTCCTGTCCAGCATGACCAGGTGATCATCTTTTGACCAATTAGTGGAGATCCCTCATGCTTCACCCAACCCAAGACCTGCCTCCTGACATAGTTGATGCGTCATTTTTTGGCTTTTGAAACAAAGTCTACCAACCAATGAGATTCTGGATTTTGTGTAACCCTTTTAGAGTGTTCAGGTATTAAATCTGGTGTCAAGCCTTATAAAAAAAAGGCCCTGGAAGAAGAAGGCATCTTAGATCCTGAAGAAGATCTGAGGTCCACTTCATTAAAGGGGACCATAGACCCTTCAATAAAGTGCCATTGGCTTAGGGCTCTGCCTCAGTCTCTTTTATTGTAGATTGTACATTATTGGCATCCCAAGATGGGACAGTGATGTGTGGACCTCAACCTCTTTAGGCCAGTCCTTGCAAGGGGCCCAAAAAGGAAGTGCAAACCAGGATGTATTTTCACTGAGGCTCCCCCACAGATGCTGGCCCTGGGAGGTTGGTCTTCCCCTGCTGTCTGCATCCAAATTCTCTGAGCCTGAGGTAAGTCTCTTCAAGATTGGTGAGTCTGCCTTGATTTGCCCTAAATTCATTTTCTTTAGGCAGGGTCCCTAACTGGGTTCAAAAGGACTATTTGAATTTGTGACTAATCTGTCTAAATTTATGAGCTCTGGAGCACTCAAATTCTATTTTCATAAAAATTATATGGACATAATTTAAAATTTTTATACACAGGCTACTGTTTTTTTTTTCTTTTTTTTTCTTTTCTTCCATTTTCTCTACTTTCATTTTGTTAAGACCAGGGAGATTCAGCCACAGAATTGCAAATTCCTCAATTTCAGCCAGTTAGCCACCTAGCTAATTTTATTTTATTTTTTATTAATTTATTTTTAGGGTTTTCTTTTGTTTGTTTGTTTCATTTTTTAGGGAATTGGGGTTAAGTGACTTGCCCAAGGTCACAAAGCTAGTAAGTGTCAAGTATTTGGTCTAAGGCTGGATTTGAACTCAGGTCCTCCTAACTTCAGGGCCGGTGCTCTATCCACTGCACCACCTAGCTGCCCCTATTTTTAGTGTTCAACAATCACTTCCATAATCCTTCTAGTTTTAAATTTTCTCTCCTTCCCTTCCCTCCTCCCTCCCCAAGATGGTGTACAATCTCACCTAGCTAATTTTAAAACTTCCTATTGGGGGTTTGGTCTTTTGCCTTTAAATTCTTTTATCAAGGAGTAATTAAATCATTTTTGTCATCAGTAGAAAAATCTCTCAAACTAATTGAGGGGGAACTTATTTCAGTGGCTCACAGCCAGGTGAGGAATCCAGCTAGAGGACCCTATGATCAGTCCCTGGAAAGGTAGGGATTGGGAGAGTGATTCCCCACTCTGACACCATCTTGAG